TGATCAAATAAATATGGGTTTATAAATTTAGAACCTTCAGGAGGCCTATACACACTTGCCACTATTAACACTGGGCTTTCCTTATGTTTAATTAGAGACCATACTGAATAACTATCCTTATATATATATTCAATATCAAATTGAGCAATATTATTTTGATTAAATAGAATGGATATTCCCCCCGAGGCCCTCCCGAATTTCTTTTTCTTTATACCAGCGTTATGTATGGTTTTAAACCCTTCAATTTGAAAATCAAATTGTGAATCAACCCATGTTTCGAGAAGACACACAAAATCAAAAGACTTAACATAGTTCAAAAAATCAGTGTCTAATAGTTTTCCGTATAAACCATTGATATTCCAAAATACAAATTTGAAATCTGTGGTTTCACACCTAGCAACAACATTGTCAAAACTCGGGCTTTGACCTCCTTCCTATGGTAGCAATGGCGACGAATAATTCAGGCTACGCAGTGGTTTAATGGTCTTCATTACCTCGTCATAAATATACACATAAATATATTATTGGGAGACGGTCGACAGACATTCCAAACAATCGAAATTATTAACGAAAGACGAGATTTTTCTAGATATTTACAGGTATCGTAATATCGTGCCTGCCATAAATGAAACGGCGCATACTCATTGGTCGATCGGTACTACGTGTTATCAGACAGCAACTGGACAGTGCTTGAGGTCAATGCACGGTCATGAATACGAATAAGGGTGTGACTCAGCAGTATCCAATGTTTCCCCACATTTGGTGAAAAGAAACTTAAGTCCCCTTCACCCCTAGTCTAAACCCTAATTATACGTTTCCTGAAGAAATGCATATGCAATTATAATGAGGGAGGGCACTGGAGGGGAACATAACTGCATTATTATGTTTTTCGACATTTCGGAGAATCATACTGTGTTTGAAAAGAATTATTATAGTTTCTATACCAATACAATTCCTAATGCAAAGTTATACTCACTTGTGTGCATCCGCAATCCAACAAATCCAAGGGTGAATTTTCGCTGCTACTACCTCGCGGTGTTGTCAGGTAAATGCAGTATCAGCTCACCCGGTACGCGGTACGCGGTAGTACTGAGGTCACAACGTTCGTTAATTGACCTTAACTAGTGCGCCCTCTGGGGAGGGGCATGGACTTAAGTTGCTGTGTTTGAAAACTTGTACGGAACGCGTAGAGACCTCTTTACCGGAAGTCGAAGATACGACGTTTCGCATGCGCGCGCATGCCGTTTTGGGGTGTAATTTAAACTTGCACGCGTGATATTGTGTTTTCGGGTGTACTAATCGACGTAACAAAAATAAAATTCCTTTCTATGATTATCAGGAAACTGACATGTTTGTATTTTCCGCCATGACAAAGCAGGAGTATTTTTGCACCCCAGTTTTGCTACTTCTGGGAAAGTGGTATATAACACGTTTTTCGCTTACTTTATGATCTGATAACAACAAAACACAATCTTAGCTCCATTCCAGACATGTTTATACGCATGTGGTTTCCGATGATATAGATTACCGTACGAACTACACCTTTTCCCGTGACTCGCAACCCCTAGCGACGAAGTTCTCTTATGAGCAATTGGGCGACATGAAGGCTGTGTGGAATCAAATTTAGATGATGAGAATGATATGGCACTTTATACTGATTTGAAACTACAGTTGGAAAACATCTTGGAAGAAGAAACTCGTGGGTTAATAATCAGGTCCAGGTGTAACTATTATGAGATGGGGGAAAAAAGTAATAGGTATTTTTTAGGTTTAGAAAGAACAAATAAAACACGGTCAACAGTGAGGCGTCTGAATGTTAATGGTAGTGAAATTAGTGACCAATATAAGATAAATAAATGTTAAAGAATTCTACTCTAAACTTTATGCTGTTAAGCCAACTGATCTCTATAGCAGTAATGCTGAGCTGATTTTGAAAAGTGATAACATTCCCCGTTTAGATGCAGAGGCAAAAAAGAAGTGTGAGGGAGAATTAACATTGCCTAACAATAAAACACCAGGGAACGATGGTCTCTCTGCTGATTTTTATAAGACATTTTGGCCAGTAGTAGGAAGGTATTTGCTTAATAGTATTAATTATTCATATTATAAAGGTCTATTGGGGGTGTCACAGAGACAGGGTGTCATCACATTAATTGCCAAAAAAGGTAAAGATAAAACACATATTTCAAATTATCGGCCAATATCTTTAATAAATGTAGATGTTAAAATTGCACCCACAGCTATTGTAAAGCGTATGCTTAATGTCTTGCCTTCCATAATTCATCCAGACCAATGTGCATTTGTAAAAGGCCGCTACATCGGGGTGCTATACGAACAGTTCTTGATCTTATGTGGTACTCTAAACAGAATGATATGTCAGGTGTTCTAGTGTCTCTAGATTTTCACAAGGCATTTGATTCGGTCGACCATAGGTTTATTATTGAAGCCTTAAAGAGTTTTAACTTTGGTGAATCATTTATAAATTGGGTGAAAATGTTTTATAAAGATGTTACTGCTTGTGTCATGAACCATGGTATCTCAACTGGTTATTTTGAAGTGGGTAGAGGAGTTATCTATTCATTGTAGCTATTGAATTGTTAGCGATTGCAATTAGAAACAATAAGTCTATTGAAGGTTTTATTATTTTTTAGAAATGTATTAAACTGGCAATGTATGCAGATGACATTACATGGTTTATCAAACCAACATCAATTAAAGTTTTGTTTCAAATAACTAATACTTTTAAATGTTGTTCAGGTTTTAGGTTAAACCAAGATAAAACAGAATTCTTGTTGCTGTGTTATGGGCACAAGG